TGAAGTTCTACAATGCTTAAAGGTGGGCCAAGAATCAATTCTCCATAATCAAAAGGCCATAATTTCTCGTGTCGATCTGGTTGAAAAGGAAATAAGAAAAGTTCAAAATTCTGTCGGGGAACTGGAATCAAGGCAAGTCAATTTTGAGAAAGACCTTGATTGTTTGAATTCTCATGTAAATGAAACAAATTCCCGTGTAAAGGATGCTGCTTTCGAACCTGATCGCCTGGAACAATATTCAAGAAAAAGCTCGGTGAGGATTCACAATGTTATCGAATCTGACGGGGAAAGTGTCGAAGAGGTTGTCATCTCTCATTTAAAGACGGAGCTAAATGTGGAGATTACGGCTTCTGAAATTGATATCGTCCACCGTGTAGGACGACGCTTTGGAAAGTACCCACGTGCAATTTTGGTAAAGTTTCTTTCACACAAGTCGAAGGAACATATTATGAAAAAGAAAAAGGAAGCCAAGAGCATTAAAATAACAGAGGACCTCGCCCGTGGCATAAAAAGTATGCTTAATGAAATAAACGCTAATCGTAACCCCTTAACATTGAGCGCGTATGGACTATTGACGGTCGTATAAAATATAAGCATTTCAACGACTCGTTCATTCACGAGGTACGTTCATACAACGATTTTTTCCGTTTTACATACACAATCAAATAGTTATCGTGCATTTCGTAATCTATATTCTATGCCAAAAAAGGTCAGTCACTCTGTTCCTAGCACATTACGGCTTTGCGCTTGGAATATCAACGGTTTAAAAAAGTTAAAAGTAGCCGAGGCATTTGGTGATCGTGACAATGATCTTTCTCAAGCTCTGGAAAATAATGATATTGTTTGTCTATCTGAAACATGGCGAGATCAAGGTGATCCCGAATTTCGTGATCTTAACGAAAGCTTTTCTGTCTTCCATCAGTTGGGGTGCAGAACTTCTCGCTATGGGAGGTCTTCTGGCGGGATGTCTCTTTTCGTTCGTAACTCTCTGGCATCATGGTGCCATATTTTACAATCGGATGCATATCATTTTTGGTGTCGATTTGATAAAATTGCCTTTGGCCTTGCCGATGATCTCTTTGTTTGCTTTGTTTATATTCCACCGAGTGACTCAATTTGGTTTAAATCTGGCAGAAGCCTAAATTTTGATATCTTACAAGACGAATGTGCTAATTATGACGCAAAAGGATCTATTTTAATTCTTGGTGATTTCAATGGTAGAACTGGGACATTGCCAGATTTTATCGTAAATGATTCAGTAGACGATTTTCTACCGGTCGCTAATGATTACTCGCCAGACACTGCTCTAATTACTAGGCAATCTAGTGATAATACAATTAATCATAGCGGTCGATTGCTAATTGAATTCTGTAAAACTGCAGGCCTTCGGATCCTTAATGGCCGTACTGATAAAAACGGCTCATCACATTTTTCTTGTTTCACGTCCAATGGTAACAGCACAGTAGATTACGCTCTTGCAAATCAGAAAACATTTGGTCTGATTAGTGGCGTTAAAGTTAGGAACATGAGTAGCTTGTCCGGTCATTCTCCTATTGAGATCTCAATTAAGCGAAGTGTTAATTGTAATAATTCAACAGTTAGCTCTAGCAAGCCCGACAATGTATCTTCCTCGGCGGTTGATGTTCTTATGAGCAATTACACAAAACAATACATCCCCAGTGTTGATTCCCATCAGAAAATTAAACTTTTTATCGAAAATGATAATACCCTGACTTTTCTGGAAAATTTGGAAACTGATCTTGATGACAAGTCCATTCCTGTTGGTCATACTGTTGCATTAATGCGCAAACATTTAACTCAAATTGCGGAAGGTTGTCTTAGAACTAAGAAAATTTTTTCTAGTAACGTACCGAAGAAAAAACATTTTGTTTGGTTTGATAACGAGTGTAAGTCCAGCAAAAAACTGCTAAGTACTTCACGTAAGGCCTTACAAGCAGCCCTGAGACTCAATAAACCTGACCCAATACGTTCTAATACTTTACATGAGGTTTACAAATTAGAGAAAAAGAGACACAAAGCTCTTTTGAAAAGAAAACGCGCTTCCTACCTTACAAATGCGAAAGAAGAGCTTTGGCTGCTTAAAAATGAATGTCCAAAGCAGTTTTGGAAAATCTTTCAATGTCATCTTCCAGTAAATCGTCAATAGATTTTTCAAATGAGCAAATCTATGCCTTTTTTAATGATCTTCTTAGTAAAAATACTCCTGTTTCTCCCCCTAAAAACCCAAGTCACTTTGCGGCTGCTAATGATTCCGGTAACGACTTATTCACTCTTATAGATTCAAAACTAAATGAACAAATTGATTTATTGGATGTGAAGAATATGGTTGAAAAACTCAAATCTGGCAAAGCACCTGGTCTTGATTTGTTGAATGCTGAACTTTTCAAACATTTAAATGACCGTTATTTTACTCTCTTTGTTAAACTTTTTAATAAAATTCTAGATTCTGGTGACTTCCCAGAAGAATGGTCTGTAGGTGTCATTGTTTTGCTTTTTAAAGGTGGTGACACAAAATATCTTGACAACTATAGAGGGATTACCTTGCTTAGCATTTTCGGAAAGCTTTTCTTGGGTATTCTTCTAAACCGCCTGAATCAGAAAGTGGAAGAGTTTAACATTCTCAAGGAGAATCAAATTGCTTATAGAAAATCATATCGAACCTCCGATCACATTTTTACGCTTCATGCTTTAATTGAGAACACATTTGCTAGTAAGAAAACTCTTTATTTATGCTTTGTGGATTTTAAGAAAGCTTTTGATTCCGTTGACTACAAAATTCTTATTGATACACTGTTGTCTTATGGTATTAATGGTAAAGTGTTAGATGTCATTAAGTCCCTGTATGCAAAAGTTAAGTCCTGTGTAAGGGGCCAAGACAGCCTAACTAATCTATTTTCCTGCCATCGTGTTGTTAGGCAAGGTTGTTTGTTAAGTCCGTTGCTGTTCACTTTGTTTCTTAATGACTTAGACTCAAAGATTAATGCTGTGTCTACCGGTGTCAGTTGGGTGATGGAGATATCTGCACCCTTTTATATGCTGATGACTTAGTTTTATTAGCTAATTCTTCTGATGATCTGCAATCCCAGTTGAACGAGCTAAACCAGTTCTGCTTGTCCATTAATATGGAGATAAATACTTCCAAAACCAAGATAATGGTTATAAGAAAAAACAAGAAAAGATCTAAGGCATGCAAAATTTGGAAATTTGGTGATAAAGAGATCAAAGAATGCAATGAGTACAAATACCTTGGAGTTACTTTTAAATCTAATGGTTCCTACAGTGCTCATGTTGATATAATTAAGCAAAAAGCTCAAAAATCTTACTTTGCTCTCTTATCCAAAAGCAACGAATGGGATGGTTTCAACCCAGGACTGTTTCTATTTTTATTTGACAGTAAAATACTTCCTATTCTAAATTATGCCACTGACGTATGGGGATTTGGTACATGGGAATGCCTGGAAAAAATTCATCTTATGGCTTGCAAGTCAACCCTAGGTGTTAAAGGATCTACAACGTCTCTTGGGGTTTATGCGGAGTTGGGACGTTGTTCGTTGCTTGAACATAGACACATTAATATCTTAAAATTTTATATTCGTTTAATAAATCTTGATTCCTCCAGATATGCATACAGAGCTCTTCAAATGTTAGTTAATGATGCAGATTCCGGTGTTTCTAATTGGGTCAGTATTGCCCGTTCCCTGATGACCCTTTACAGAATACATACAACCGATTACTCCACTATCGTGAAATCAAAAGTGTCTTCCCATTTTAGGTCAAAAATTATGGAAAATTTAAAAGAACAAACTATTCTCAATAAAAAGCTTTGTACATACGCATCTTTCAAAACTGTTTATAAGTTTGAGCATTACTTAGACTTGATACCTAGCCAAAAGAAAAGATCCAACTTTGCAAAACTACGTCTCAGTGCCCACAACCTCAGGATTGAAACAGGTAGATACGGGAAGAATCCTATTCCTAGGATTGATAGAAAATGTCCGTATTGTCAATCTTTTAATAAAACTGCTGTGGAGGACGAAATTCATTTTTTATTAGTTTGTCCCCTTTACGAGACTGCTAGGAATTCTATGTTATCTATGATTTATTCAAAATTTCCCAGAATATCATCCCTTGACCTTTGTGATAAGTTTATTTGGTTGATGAGTCAAGAAGATACGGATTGTCTGATATCGATAGCCAATTTTATATCGCTGGCTTTTGAGTCACGGGAATCTTTTGGGAAGTCCTCTACGTGCATATCCTCGTAACGTAAACTTTCCAGCTCGTCATCATTCTTTTTATCTGTTTATCTTTGTATTAGCTGTTTGCTGTTTTCTGAGATTTATTGTTAATTTGTAATTATGTTAACTTGTAAGTATAGTAATTCTGTTTGCTGTTTTCTGAGATTTATTGTTAATTTGTACTTATGTTCTGAGATTTATTATTAATTTGTAATTATGTCAACTTGTATGTATGGTAATTGTGTTGGCGATGGGCCATTGTGCGGACCTGACAAGCGCGTTAGTATTATAGTATAAAAAAAAAAAAAAAAAAAAAATAAATAACAGTCATTGCATTAAACCAGCAGGACTCGGGTTTTTAATGATTTACTAAGCTCTGTAAGGTTAAAGCAATTGATTTGTATACTCAATTCTTTTCAAATCTTTGATATCAAAGTTCTGAATTCTGAACTGCTGACATCCGACAGCTTGGAATTCCAAACTTCTACTGTGAACCGGATTCCTACGCTTTCCTTCTTTGTGTTTTGCAGAGCTGTACCAATTCAAATCAAACCAGTAATTATCATTCTTGTCATTATAACTATAATAATTAATCACATTAAGATAAATTTTGACTTGGCCAAAGCGTCCAGTTGTATCGTATCGTTTTGCTATCACTTTGTTCTTGTAGCAAACTTTGAAGATGAGAATCAATTCAGTTCAAGATAAATTCAATTCAATTAAGAATAACGGTATAGCAGCTTAATGTTGTATGCGGTGTCTCTTATAAAATGTAAGTGTAACTTTTGAGTGGAATATATATGTAGAAAAATAGATAAAACATTTACTGAAACTATATGTTTCATAACATACTTACAGATGCAGTTGCTGGATGAAACACTTCCTGGCATTTTAGTTGTTCTTCCACTTGTACAGGCAATACAATGCGGCAAAAGCAGATTCTCCCTATACAAGCCAGTTTGGCAAGCCATACATTTCATGCCATCTTTTGATACTTCTTTTCCACGTGGACAAACAGCTACAACGTATAAACAGAAAAGATTTGTGATAGCTTGCTTGATTTAAATTTCTAGTTATAGCACAAGAAACAAAAGAAATCTCGACATCCCAAAATTTAAGCTTGAGAATACAAAAAAGGATTCCACTTCTCTAGGCTTAAAGCTTGGAACAAAACAGCCATAGAACTAAGGGAGATCCCCTCGCTCTATCAATTCAAACGAAAATTAAAAGCTCATTTGAAGAGCTCAGGAAACCCGAATTAAAACACGACTCCCAGGAAGATCATACGTCAAATTCAATTCACGCATATTATTAAATAATTTTTTAAAATTTTGTATTCCATTATTAGTTTTTTTTAGCTTATCATAACTTGTGTTAAGGTTTCTGGTGGGATATCGTGTTGAAATAAGAATTTTATAAAAAAAATAAAATACGTGAAAATACCCCCAGGCCTTTTCTCCATTTGCTCTTGTTTTTCTGACTAATTCTTCTCGAGCTCCCCTTTCCCCTACCCCCTTTGTACTTTGTTTCCATAACAACATATCCATAGGTTGCCCGCACAAACTGCTGAGGTAGGCATTGACAGAGTTTTGTACCCTGTGAGTGCTGAGGAGTCACAAGGTTGTGCCAGAGCTTTGACTGGCAGTAAGCTGTGTTTGGAAAAGTTATGGTGTTTAAATTGTTGCTTTTGGTTGCCTTTGGGCTGCTTAGTAAAGTGCATGGCAATGAACATTCGCTGCTAAATGAAGAAGCAGTTGGTAAGGCTTTTGCTGCCTTTGTCAAAGGTAGTGTGGGTAGCAGTAGTCGACTCAAGGCTAGCTTAGGCCGCCTGATATCTGCTTCAAATACAACGAATGGAGCTTCACCTTGCATCCAGAAACTTTTGTCATATGTCACTTCACCAACTGGATTTCCAATACTGCTAGGATGTAAGTAACCCTTGGAAGAGTTTTCATATGCCAGCACTTAGCAACACTAATAGTGCAATCCACAAAAATACTTGTTGCATCACTCTTGCTCGTCATGGGTCGTTTTTGTTACAGAGCTGTCAACTCCCCCTGTTTCGCCGGGAGACACCAGGTTTCGCTTACTATGCTCACTGTTTCTCCTTACTCTTTTAGCGGGGGGTATTCTCATGATGAAAATGATAGCAATGATTTTCTTCATAACAAATTTTCACCGTTTAAATCTGTGAAAAAAAATTTCCTTTAGTATCTTTATCTACACTCTTTTCTATAAGAACCAGTAAGTTTCAGTTCAGGCTGGCTGTTCTTAATTTTTTTTTAAACTCTGAGGCTTGATTGTTCTCAATTTGTTCCTTCAATTTGGGCCAAGCATTGCATTTGCCTTTATGACCTATAGAGAGGAGAGCTATATGAATCTTAGGCAAATAACAATTCTACCTAAATTTGAAATCTGTGAGTACCCAGCCACTTGCACATAAAACTAAAATGCAGATCACCCTTCTATGCAGTTTTGAAATATATGAAAAACTGCTATTTTGTAGACAGAAGGAGCTCATTTTCACCTTAGGACTAACATTTTCAATAGGCAAGCAGCACTGTTTGGGCAACCTCAACACTCATGTGCTTGGGTTTCTGATTGGCCTATTAATTTGATCCACAACTGGGTATATATACTTCCTAGCTTAGTGTCTTGATCTATGTTCTGATGTTTTATAGTGTGAAGATTGTTAGGCGAAAAGCTTAAGTTTGACTCAAAATGTTTGCATTTTTCAAAGCCTATCTTAACTGTTTTAGATGAAAATTGTTTTATCCTCTGACTTGATCAATTCCAATCTTGCACAGATCTTGATTCAATGGGGAAGCCTGGCAGTGGAATATTTCAAGGGAATCTCTTTTGGCCAGGATCTTTCTCAGAATGTGAACAGATTCCCGAGTCCAAGTATTGTCTTGCAGGCTTTCAGTTGGGATTGTATTTTTATGGAAAAAAGAGTTTTGATGTGAGTAAATAAATGTTTTTGTCACAAAAAGCCAATTTTTTTCGATTTTATGTTGATAAATCTTTGTTCTTTTTCAGTGTAACCTATTGAATTTTGGTTTTTAGAGATAATTTGCACGAGAATTACAACCAGTGATGAGTTCAACACATGCTGAGTTTTAAAATTGGTTGAATCATAAATAACAATATAGGCATTTTTATAGAGCCATATATTCCCAGGGCTCATAGGCACTTAACAACAAGAATATAAATTACATGTTATAATGAAAGAAATTTACTCAATATTACTTTGGTTATTGATAATGAATGCTGTCATAAAATCAAATAAATTGATACTTTTAAAAGAAACCTCATCTAAACACAACCTAATAATAAACAATATATACAACCTAAATAGGTATAGTCAGTCGGGGGAAAAAATACGCATTTTACGCAAAGTTTGCTCCAGAAAAATATTCAAAAGATATCTTGTCAATATTCTTTTATTTTTTTATCTTGAATGGTAATACCTTGTTAACCAAACCTTTGTTGTTTTGCTAATCCAATTAACCTTCTTATAATTAAAGAAAATTAATGCGAAATTTTTCCCCCATCAAATGGGGTAAAAAATGCGGATAGGTGGGGAAAAAATACGCACACATAAAAGAATGAATCCTAGGAGCTTATTTATGAAGAACATTCATATAATACTTGATTTTCCATGCAACAATGTAAAGCAATGGTTTTGAACAGCTTTTAAGTGATTTTAAGTTTAAAAAGCATGAGGATGTCTGCTATTAAAAACTTTGGCATATGAAAACGAGGCTATGACTTAAGTGCCAAAAATACATTCCCATTAATATAGCTTATGTAATATCTCATGATAATTTGTGCCTCTGTGACTCATATTTACATATCTCAATAGGTCCCATACCAACATCAATCAAAATCAGGAGTGCGTAATTTTTCCCCATCTTCTCAAAAATTGTGTGTCCAAAAAAACGCATGCCATGTAGACAAAACAAAAGATAGCCAGCAAATGTAATTATCATAGGTCAAAAGGCTAATCCCTTAGAACAACTGAGAACACTTGACTTTGTGGGCTTGACAGTTACTGACCGGACAATAAGAAAGTTCCATGATTTCTGACAAAACATTATATTGGGCCAATTTACAAGGTTACCATTCAATTCCGCTTTACTCTAAATCAAGAATGCTTACAGAAGGGAAAAGCAGGTCAAATTGACTGGCCTTCTCTAGGCTATCTGGGAACCACAAGCAAAACTATATAAGTGATTGGGCATGGCTGAAAAAGTGGTACGTAATTTATCCCCCGCAGAGACACATGTGTATTTTTTACCCGGATTGACTATACGTCTTTAGTGACTGCTTGGTGTAGGCAGGCCTTTTGTGTCATGCAGGCAATCATTCTCGCCCTCTCCAACCCACTTGCCAAATTATTGCTGCTAAACTCACACAAATGAGAAAAATTCAAGAAAAGAAATTCTGTTTAAACAAATCAAAATTATTCCTTTTCAAATAGTCTGATTTTGACAATATTTTGTACCATTATCAGGGGCTCCATTACAGAAGGGGAAGGAGCCAACGACCCCATCATCAGAGTATGTCAGCCACACACTCCCCACTTTATAGCTTGTCTTTAGGCAAAAAGTATATACATAACATTCTTCATACCAGAATGTCAATCATACTAGAAAGACACATGTTGGACTTCTTAATTAGCTTGTTGTAGCTCACTTTGCTTTTTAAGATATTAAACCTTGTCTGAATTGATTGAACAGCTTAAGTAGAGCAAAAGACTATTATTTGTTGCAGATCTCCATCATGTAGAAATTTTTATAACAGTGTAAAGTATTTTGTCTAAACTTTTCTTTGCTTCTCTTCAATAGCAACATGGTACAATGGGCACCTGTGTACCAGAAATCTGTTCACCACAAGAGATCCGTCAGATACTGTCATACATCCCTTTGAACATCAGTAAGTTCTTTTCTTTTTAAAGGATTGATTTTGTAACCAAATGTGCTTGGCAAACACAATGGACTGTAACAAAACTTGATTTTGTGAAATTCTTTTATGTCAGTGTTGCCGTTTTATGATCTGATTTAATATGCAGAAAACACAGAGCCAGCAAGAGACGATATAACTTGACCATGGCATCTTAATGAGTTTACTATCTAATTTACAATATATACACATAAATCTAGCGGATGTTACATTACTGTGGATACAAAGACAATGAAAGGTGTTAATCACAATGATATAATGGAAAAGATTATTACAACTTCACATTGGTCACTACAACACTGAGTCTTTGAGAAAACAAGAACTTTTAGGGAAATCTGCTATTTCAATAAATTGTATATCAACACTGAAAGTAGCTGATTTCTACAGTGTTTATTTTTCAAATAGAACTCTCCAACTTTAAAAAGAGTTTTCTGCACTCATTGGCCAAAAAATTTCTGATGAGAATGCTGATTGCCGTTTACCCCCACATGCCCCCACAGTGCTGTCCATGCCCCCACAGTTTCTGCCACTGGGCAAAGGCTACCCCTTGAGCTCTAAATAGATATATTCTGTACCTCTGTTTCTAAGAAGTAGGGGCTATCCTATGTGATCCCTTGTACCCCTACTTCTTACATCCATGGTTTGATGCTAATGTTTCGTTTTCATTTAGCGTTTTCTCTGAATTTTTACTAACTGGAACTCCCAAAATACTATTTCATTGGATGTGGCTGGATTTGATGGCTATATTTACTGGCTGTTAAGTTTTTACGTTTAAACACTTTTTAAGCCCTTGTTTTGTTTTCAAGCCCTTGTTTTGTTTTCAAGCCCTTATTTTGTTTTCAAGCCCTTGTTTTGTTTTCAAGCCCTTATTTTGTTTTCAAGCCCTTGTTTTGTTTTCAAGCCCTTGTTTTGTTTTGAATCTCCAAGCCATATTAATTGAGTCCTGTGTAATGAATGATTGTATACTGTTCTACAATTTACCCAAGGTTATGTTTTATGTCTTTTGTTGCTTCAGGTTACCAAGGAATAGTCGAGGCCAAGTTTACATTTCCAGATAAGAAGGCCCTGCCCCCTTACGATGGCCCAGCACTTTGTGAAGACAGGCATCAGAAATTCTCAACTGGCACTGTTGTAACTTTGTATGTTTAAATTTTAACTGTTTACCCTTTATCAACACTAACATGTTAACAATTATGCTATGCAGTGATCTAGAAGATCTAAATAATTTGTCACACAACACTTTAATTACAAGTCTGCAAAACTGGGTTTAAGACACATTGTCAGCAGCAACTTTCGATAGTTAATGGGAACCCACAAAGGCAATTTATTTCCAGTGATATTAATTGTCTACGTCGGATATATGGTAATATACCAAAACAAACAGCATTTTAAAACATCAAATGAACAAAGATATCACTTCATGTTGCTAGAAAACTTTACTTTTACATTTCATTGTTCAAATCTCTTTGTTAATTGTTTGTTATATTCATGTGACTTCCTGCTTACACAAAGCTGCAACTTTAGGATATTAAAATTCTATCAGATGTTTAGTATACTAAAGCCATGTTTCCAAAAAATAAACAAATATTTCCCATTCCTTGGTTTAAGCTTTCTTACTATTAGATAAATCTGTTACAATGAAGCATCCGAATTTACAGTTTAAGGATAATTTTTATTTTTATACATTCCATTTAAGTTTACAAGATAAGTTACTAGAGTACCATTCATTATAAGGAAACCTTAAATACTCTACCAAAAAGCAGCCTAGGAGCCAAAACCATGCCTATCCCAGGGCCATAATGTATAGGGTGAAAAGATACAAACTCTTAAAGATACCAGGGGAGGCGTGGGTTGGTCTATGAGGAGATGCGAGTAATCTTTGATGGAAGTATTCAGTTTCAAAAGATTCTTCATTGTGAGATTTAAAATTACCTTGTTATCTTCCAAAGGCAAGACTTTATTTCCATATAATAATTTTGGCGCTCTTTAGCCAACTGCGCGTGCGCATAGCCAACAATGTTGGCTGAGGTGGCCAAACGATCCAACATTTGCTTAACACTTCAAAACAATAGAATTATTGGACGTCGGCAGCCAACATTTTTGTCCTCAGTCATATTTCGTCCAACATCGAAATTTACGATGTTGGGTGACCCAACAAGGTGGTCAAACGATCCAACATTACGCCCAACACCATGTTGGGCGAAATGTTGGGTGAAATATTGGATCGTTTGACCAAGGCTTTTGTTGAATACAGTAGGTCTATTGTTTGAAATTATGCTTGAACTGCTTTTGGGAGGAGATAACTCCTATGTGTAGACAGAAGGCGTTTTTTTTCACACTCGGACTCTATTCGTAATATTTTTAAGAGGCAAGCGGCACTGACTGGGTAACTTTCGCAATCATGTGCTAGCGTTCTTTTCATTGGCCTATTTCGACCCACAACTGGGTATATATTTTCTTACTTGATATTTTCGACCTTGATTCTTACCTATAATACTCTGAAGAGTGTCATACGAAAAGCTTTAGAGTGTTTTGTAATGTAAAGCCATTTTTAAAATGTATACCACCGAAAAACTTCTGGCAAACAAATTTTTATACTTTTTGTTAAACTGTAGCCCCTCCTATCTTTAACCAAGATTTTAGACTTAAAGCCTGTTTTGATGTATATTAACTCAAATGTATTTTCCTCAAGCTTAGTGTTTTCAGATTTTTGGTTTCTTAATATCTTTCTCCTTCTATCTACAGGACCCTTTGTGGTATCTTGGCAGGACTATGTTTGTTTGGAACCATCTTTGAGCTCGTCCTTAACTTTCTAGAGTCGTTTTGCTCTCCTTCAAAAGAGCTTGTTAACTTGCCTGTTTACCACAACAAGGCCGCCAGTGACATCGAAGCAAAAGGTACCGAACATGGTCACGAAAGTGATGATGATGAACTCAACTCTCAATCGCATACTGACTCCTCAGAAAAGACCTATCTCGTTGAAAAGCGAATCCTTGAGAAATTGAAAAATCATCTCTCGTGGTATATGTGCTTCTCGATAATCAAAAATACGAAAGCGATTTTGAATACTGACACCCCAAGTGGAGCTATTCTTTCAATAAATGGGATACGAACAATCAGCATGACATGGGTAATTCTGGGACATATTTACTCTGTTGGTGTTATGGCTGGGGGTCTTGGTGAGTCTCTTTTCTGCAGAACTAGTGACTGTCTTTATGATTTACTAGGCCTACAATCCTGGACAGACGGTGAAGATTGAGATTTAGCCCCCCCCCCCCTTCAATCTTGTATCTCAGCTCCTGAAATACATACGCTTCAACTTTGAATGGGGGAAGGGCGACGCCCGGGGGAGTCACTTGAATTTTTATGTATGGGGGGGGTCCATCTGCAGTTATTGAAATTCATTTAAAAGTATAAAAAACCTAGCAGACTCAATTATAACTTAAAATCTCGATGGGACTCAAAAATATCAAATCATCAAAACCTTATTGCTAAGCACGTAAGAATCCACTAATAATACTTCGATATTTATTCAAACAGCTCCTATAATATTCAGTTTAAAAACATGTTTTATTTTATTCGTGTTTGTGATTTTGTCATGTATTCGTTGAACCCATAAGTACCAAAAGATATATTGTTGAATTAGGTATCAAAAAGTATCAGATTACAAGGACAATTCTTACCCTTAACTATCAGATGAAACACTCCCCCGTGTATAGAATGTTCAAGTGACCCCCCTGGTTTGATAATATTTTGGACTAAACATGCATCACTCCGCATTAAGGCCCATTGGCCTATATACAATTTCTTTACGTTTTTAAGGGACCAGATGGTATCTTAAAAACGCAGAACGTATAGGCAAAGATATTGTTGAAAAAGAAAAAGTTCTTTGCCCTTTTATCAAGCATCCTTTTTTCTGAAGTTCCTTTTACCTTAGAGAAGTCTCTGGCTCAATGGCCCAGTGGTCCTTTACCCGGGTATAAGCCAATGGGCATAAGTACACAGTGGCCTTGTTTGCGGAATAATAGGATCTACGCGATTATTTGTTCAGCAGATGATTTTGTTCCATTATCGCTACTTTGCATCCGGGAGGGGCCCTTGACACCATTGACACTGTCTTCACATTATCTTCATCTCGTTTGATTTTGAAAATGTTTGAATATAAACGACATATTTACTTCATATCGCAGTCAATTTCACCGAACTGGTCAAAGTTCTGAACAGATTTAGCTTTCTGTCAATCGCAAATGCTTTCTTTTCGGTCGACAGTTTCTTTTTGTTGAGGTGAGCGCTAGTATCATTTTCAGATCTGTTACAATTTCCTTAAAATACCATAATCATGAAATTTCACTTGTAGTGCTGTTCTGTATTTTTCCAAAATTGTTGCACTGAAAATAATTCAAGAATTTTTAGGGACAATGGAATATGGAAGAATCTTTAGAATGCCCCCTCCCCGCAAAATGCACATGACAGGTTGATACATCGGCTCCCCCCGAAGAGTGCTGGTTACATCTTGATGCCCCTGGTCTCCTCCGTGAAGAGAGCGTCAGCAAGTATTGATTTGCTCTTCAAATGTTTTACATTTCCCTAACCCAGCTTTCCACAACATTCTTCCCCCGTTTCTTCCCAATAAACATCAGTTTTCAAAGATTTGCACTGAGGGTTTATTTTTACCTCGTTCTAGTGGCTTGCTTGTATCTTACTTGGGAATGCGGAGGTTGGATGCGAAAGGCAAGTTACCAATATGGAAGTTCTATTTGCATCGTTACATCAGGTACTGTAATAAATTTTTTCATTGGCGTAATGAATTTTTTCGTATGTAGACAAGGGCACAGAATAGGAATTAGGCAGATAGGGAACTCCTGCCTATCAGGTGAAGCCTGAAAAAACTTGCGCATGCGTTAACTTATACGAGGCTTAGCATGTATCTGTCGGGGAAATTTAAAAAAGAATGAAAGTAGACAACTTTATTTGAGACGAAATGCCCCATGATAGTGAACAAATTCAACTATGTATCATAATTCGTTTATATTTTATTAACGAATGATAATTTGTCATGGCAAAGTTTGTCTAATGAAATCGAGGTTAAAGGAGAATTAAGGAATTCTATTGTTGACTCAGGTTTCAAAACAACAAAGGAACCGACGAGAGTTCCTTTGCCTATTTACTATTCTGTAACAAGGGCGAGACAGCAATTCAAGAACAAGAGTGATTCATTAGTTAAAACCACTGCTAACAAAAATTAGTTTTGATGTAATGAAAACAAAACAATTAAAAAAACCTGCATGTCGATGTCATGAAATAATTCAAGAATAATGGAAATTATCAGAAAATGTGGAGAGAATAAATGACCGTTTTCTTTTAAAACATTTTATAAATGATAGATAATAAAGTAATTGGATAACAAAGAAAAATCAAGATAGTCATCAAATGATCAACCATAAGTAACAAACAGTTTTTACTTAAAAAAAGTGAAAAAGCAATATTGAACCAATGATTTTAATCAGCCAGTAGAAAAATCATTTACTCTCTTTTTTATTTCGAAAATTATAAACTTCGAATGGGATGGCTTCAACTGAAGTATTACACAGGGCCATTAAAGTTACGGGGAATCGATATATAGTAAATGTTTACTTGCCCCCTTCTCCCTGATGCTTCTAATAAAATTTACTGTGTTTTGATCTCAGGCTAACACCAACCTACGGATTTGTTATTCTCATCTTTGTTTTCGTCTATCCATGGATGGGAAAAGGCCCGTTGTGGTCAACAGTTTCGGCAAAACACATTGCTGACCCTTGCAAGGACAAGTGGTGGACCAACCTTCTTTACATTAACAACTTTTACCCAAATAAATTGGGGGAAGAGGTGAATACAGAATATGTATTTTAAAGAATGCCCATGACGAAGAAATAATTTCATGTTTAATGATTGTAAAATCTGTCAGCGACTTTAGGAGACACTAAACTGGTCCAGAAACTTACCTCGTGTTCAAATATCTGCAGCCCTCTCGCTTATTCTGCCGCTAATACCCAATTCCTTTTTATGAAGCAGTGGCCTTTTTTGCATTGGCAATGCTGCCCCCTACACATCACCCATCTTCCTCCAGATTTAAACCCTAGATCAGCATTTAAATTTTGCAGCAACGATAAATCTATTTGAAATGCAGTTATCAACATATATGTAATTTGTTTTTGTATAAGCTCGATTTGATACAAAAACTTTGTTGATACCTGTTATATTGTCATAGTGTCTCGGATGGGGATGGTATCTGGCCAACGACATGCAGTTCTTCCTCATCAGCCCGTTTATTCTTTACATGTCATACTGGTAAGAATCGATTGCTTGACAGATTTATTTGATTGATTGGTTGATTGATTGATTGACTGTAGTGACTGATTGATTGTTATGACTGATTGACTGGTATGGTTGGTTGGTTGATTGTAATGATTGATCGTCTTTATGGGAGCCTCGCTTAAATGTGTCAATTGTTGATGGTACTCCAAGGATGAAGTTTTTTTCTATGCATGTGTAATCAAATCTTTATAGTAGCATTTTCTTTAGTGTGCAATGTCAGATATTTCCACCCTGCACATGCAATTGAAGACTTCTCTACTCTTTGCAATTATGCTAATTCCAAAACTTCTCGATTGCACATACTTGTAATTTTTTTCCCTTAACAAAAGTTTCAAGAAAATTTATCGTGTTTTATATTGGAGAGATGTTTTCGCTGTCTCTGTGAAAAAACTCACGTAGACTCATGGTCGCAAACGTGAAAGACTGAAGTTACAAACAGAATCTTTGAAAATTCATCAAAAAACTGTCGGTAATAGCCGGCAAGAAATGGGTTTATTTTGGTCATGTTCAATTGGATTATGTAACGAGCTACAATGTGGCGTAACAGAGACGGCCGGGGGACGCCGAAGTATTAGCATTGGTTGAACAGTATAGACAAAGCACCAAATTCCAATCAACAAATTCCCCACCTCCCCCCCTCCCCCCCCCCCTCCCCTCATTCCACTTGCCTTGTGAATGCTACCGAAAACTAAAAGTTGCATTTTCTCAGGTTTAAATGGATTGGATCTCTTGCTTCAAATGGAGCTCTTATACTCATTAGTATAATTGTCACGGGTGCTCTCATTGGTCATTACAAACTCCAGTCTCTCCAGGTGGTCGCCAATCTGGCCAGGCCGTAAGTGTTTCTTGCAGGCTATCTTGAAAACATGCATTGATGGAACGTTGGAATGATGGAATGTTGGGATGTTTTTTTAAAATAATTGTAGTTAATTTGGATTCTTGATATGAGAGCTAATTGTATAGGATGTTTCTACCTTACAAGAGCTATTTTTTTTCTATTCACATTCCAACATTCCAAAATTCCAACATTCTTCATTCCATGTTTTCAGGATAGCCGTTTCTCGTATCGTGATGCATTACAAATATGTCAAAATTATTATATGTTTTATAATGCACTGTGTATATGTTTTTAAAAAGACTGTGTGACCAGGTTGCAAGACTTGAGGAACTGCAAATATCTTTGCGTAGACAAAGCTGGGAATGCCTAGACTGCTTTTAGAGGCATAATATAATTGGTGAAGCAATCCTTTCAAAGACGGCCCTAGCTTGCTACAACTTCCCTCTATCTGTCTGCGGCTTGATAGGTACTCCTTGTAACTGTAAGTGTAAATATTTATTGCGCACGAGCCTTTATCAGATTTTGCATGATCGAGTGCCAGATAAGCCGTCTGCATTTAAGCAGAAATGTTAGAAGCAGAAACGATATATATAAGATCTGTTAATTTTGCAAGCCAAATTTCGTCTACAGATGTTTTTCGGTTATACACATTGTTCGCTCTTTAGGCACTCCAAAATTAATGGCCACCTGTCAATCAAAATTGGCCAATCATTAAGCGTAATACCACTCTCGCGGTCGGCGATTGGCCAAAAAGTGACTGACAGTTTTGTTAAAATTTGTAATAAGTTTTGTTAAAATGCAATTGGAGGTTAAGTCACTAAATACAACTAGACGCTTAGGCATATTCTATAACACCATTCACATGTGGGTCATTCAGATATTACATAATCAAAAAAGGAGAGTTTTTCAAAATCTTTACAGCCCTGGGGGGCTTTTTCGAAAGTGGGGGCTTACTGATTTCAGTAAAAGTTATTTAGGATGGGGGCTCACTCGAGGGTGGGTTTCTTCGAAGGGGGAGGGGGCTTATGAGGACTTAAGGTATTCTTAAAGATCATCATCTTTAATGCCAGTTGCAATGTCTATCAGTGATATGTTGAAAGCACGTACTTTCATTGCGTTTCTGATTAGCAGTCTCCTATGGCCAGTTAAGATCAGTTCAGGAAAACAATAGATATCAATTTCCTATGGAGCTTCCCATCACTCTATTTCGTGCTTGTAAAAATATTCTTTTCCCTGAACATTTCCACCCTCATTCTCCTTTCCCTGCCCTAAAAACTTTTTCCAAACATTAGTGTTAGTAGCCAAAGTTAGTAGCCTAACATGGCTTGCTTACATCTCAATGCCTAAATCTCATTGCCTAAATCTCATTGCCTATATCAGAGAAGAAAGCCTACATCTCATTGCTCGCTCTTTGTAACTCCACCCCTTTCAGAGAGAGTTATTCAATAGGCCTCAATGATGTATGTCGAAATTTATTCACTTAATTTAAGACTTTTGAAAGTATTGTATGCTTAAATGATTTCCATTTTTCGTAGACAACCTGCTGCCTCCTTTGAAGATCTTGTTTACATAAAACCATACTGCAGAATAATACCATACCTTGCAGGAATGCTGCTCGGATATTTGCTGTTCAGGAAAGTTCAAATTAAAGGGCAATTGAAGCCAGTGAGGATTTTGCTCAATTACGCCATTATTGATTTGAAATAGGAATTACCTGCATAATATGCTAGTCAATTTTATGTTGTCACATCAATAGCAGAATCACCAACACCAGATGTTGACTAAGTGTCTCTTCCGTATATGAATCTGTTGTAAAATGTAGCACCAACAAAAGTAAATATTTTTGTATTTTTGGTAATTAAATTGGTATTTTCATCTTTTTGGTCTCCTAACATTTCATCTTTTACCTGAGGGGGTGTAATAAATATTAACGAGCCATTGCCGTAGAAATAGGCTTTACTAAGCAATAAGAACGGAGGCTACCACACGTGCTTACAAAAAAACAAAAAAGTGGCCAAACAACACAAAACCGCTGGCCTAATAAAACCGCTGACCTAACAAAACTGCTGAAAAGTTAACAAGTTAACAAGTTGTAGTTCAACCCAACGAATAGTCATAGTTTATAACAGGAGGAAAGATTTTGAAAAGATTAGAGAAAGTACTTCTGGTAAAATGTCAAAAAATCTAGATATTTTCTTTTTTGCCATTTTTTATGTCATATTTCATATTTATTTTTTCAGAAACGCAATTTTTGGAATTTTAGTTCAACTGTACGGTGACAGCTTCTGCCTTGATTCTAAATCTCAAATGTGCTGTCACTAGATTTTCGGCTTGCGTTTCTTGAACCTTCTCTTGTTGAATACACGTATACTCCCTTAACGGTTTACCTGTTATTCTTATCTTTCAGTTGTTTGCTGTCATTGGCTGGGCAGTCGCCATTGGCTGTGGTATGGCTGTTGTATATGGAACATGGGACACCACAAAGAAAGGTGGAAAACCCTTCACAGAAGCAGAGAACATTTTATATGGCTCACTTTCCAGGCTTACTTGGTCAGTTGCTCTTTCGTGGGTGATTTTTGCTTGCCATACGGGCGTTGGAGGTAAGGTCAGGACATTATTTACTCTTGGAGGCTGAGAAGTTTTCAATGTATACAATAAAATCAAAATTTTATGACATCCATCGCGTGTTGATTTATTAGAAATATTAGAAGTTTAGAACAAAATATTCCAGTATTGAAGATGGAAAAGTCCCCAAGTTTTAGTGCAAGTTCTGCAAAGTGTATCTGTGCAAACATGTTAGCGGCATGTTAATCTCCGCTTTTCAGATCGAAGTTCTTATATTACTTTTAACGAAAATTGCACAGAAATAGGCCATTTTTTTTATAGAAACCATCATTCATCAACTTTTATCAATTTCTATAAAACACTCGCTTTTTTTATAAAATGCCTTCTGCAAAAGGCTTTTTGATCATTAAATTAAATTCTAGGCCTAGTAAACAGCATTCTGTCATGGCGTGCATTCATCCCCCTCAGTCGCTTGACTTTCGGAGCTTACCTTCTACATCCATTGGTCATGATTATTTTCTATCAAACCAAGCAGTCGCCAAGAGCTTACACAGATATGGATATGGTATGTGAATAGTATTTTGCTCGGATAGAGTTTTAGTATTTGTAGTCTTATTACGTGTGCGGTATTGACAAAAATACATGAAGCCCCATGAACTTTAAAATTTTCAACGATAGTTCCCTGACAGAAAGCTCCTGACAGGTATTGCTTTAATAGACTATATAAACCTTCCCTGCACGATATTTTCTTGGCTCGAAATATTTGATATTCCAATCATATAAAGTTATTTTTGACAATTGACAATTATTATCTTCCTGCATGATTTATCGTTATCTTTAACTTTCTAGGCTTTTCAGTTTGTGGCAATCACAGCATTTTCATATGCATCAGCTTTTATCCTGGCACTTGGTGTTGAGTACCCAACGCTCAATTTGGAAAAGAAAATCTTTGGCCAATAGACAGCCATACATGCTTCAGGCCAGCTTGCTGTTCGCGCTAGAGTACCGACTTTAAAATTGATTCAATCACCCAGTATACCATAACGATTGGTTTTAATTAGATTTTTACCCAGTCGATCTGCAGTATGATTTAACAGGTATCTAAAACAAATCTTTTTTTCTTAATTCCTTTCTGTCTTTTATGAATTTTTATATTTACTTTGGTTAGATGTTTTTATCTTTTAATGCAGACAATGGTTGACTTTATAACCATCCCCAACTCCCCGCACCCTCCCCCGTAGTTCCCCCAAAGTGCATCATTATCCTGACTATTACAAAGTTTAATTTTAAGAGAGTTCACGGGGCTCATCACAAACATGAATCGTGAAAGAAATTAAATATAAAAACCCCTAATTCGATGGTGTGTTCTTACGTCTTGTTAGTTCGATGTATTTGGTAGCCGCTTTTTTTGAATTTCTTTACGATGCACACGTCGTACTGGTTTTATAGTTTTTTTCTTATTTTCTGTACTGTTTTTTTATAAAATAATATATTGTTCTGTACATGATTGCTAAAGTATGATTTAAGTATTAATTGTAAATAGAACGTCGCTGGCATGTACGATAACTGATTTAATATGTTGTTACATATAAACTGTATATGACAGCTCACTCATTTGATTCTATACGAAATACATCTAGAATAGACATCTAGAAACTTTATAGAGCATCTTTCTATCTTTGCTTCATGGAGCATCTTATACCTCTATTATTAAAGGGAGCTATACATAAAATCACACATTTTTAGTACATTTTTAAACCTTTGTTATTTTAATTCCCTACAACATATACATTTTCAGAGCTGAAATCGATGCAATTAGGAAAAGTATAGCATTGATTCCATGGAGTAAAGAATTATCGGAAATTGAGAGCCTAAATTCAACAGTGAACATACTTAATAGTGTTCTGTTAAATATTTGCTCGAACTTTATCCCCAACAAATTAATCACAGTTAGGCTTCGGCAGTCTTCTTGGATAACACAGTCTATTAAAAAAAACATTCGTAAAAAGAATAGGGCATACAGAACATTTATAAAGAACGGTCAACGAGAGGGTAGGCGAGAGGCAATTGAAAATATGATGTTCCAAGCTGCAAGGCTGATTGAAGATGCCAAGACGAACTATTTCACGAAAATTGGGAGGCAACTTGCTAGTCCAACAACAGGTATAAAGTCTTATTGGTTTTTAATTATAAAGTTATTAATAAAATAAAAATCCAGTTAATACCTCCCGTCTTAGAAAATGACATATTTGTTCCAGATTATACTGCTAAGGCGCAAATATTTAACGAATACTTTATTCTCCAGTGCACTGTATGACCCGGAAACTTGGAAACGAGCCCATGTTGTTCCGGTCCCTAAAAAAAGTGCAAAAAATAGGAAAACAAATTATCGCCCAATATCCGCACTTCCCATATTTGGAAAAATCTTGATGTTCGCTCCGTATACCTTGACATACCTAAAGCATTTGAAAAGGTGTGGCACGCGGGGCTTATCTTCAAACTTCATAAATGTGATGTGTCAGGAGATCTCCTTTGATTGATAAGGTTGCGGGTTGGCTTCGTAAAAGAATTGTGCACTTTAAGTATGAAAATTGGTACACATGCAAAGTTTTTGCTTATCTGAGTCTATTTTTAGATAAGCCGCCCTCAGACCTATTGCCCATTTCTTCGAAGACAGTAATGTAAAAAAAAACAAATAAATGCCCCTATATCAATTCAATAATGTAGAATCTGAAAATCATAAGCAACAAACACTTTTGAATGGCAAAATATCCGACAGGGGAAATATCAAAGCCAGTGTTCTTCAGGGCTCAATGTTGGGTCCTCTCTTGTTTCTTAATTACATAAATGATTTGACTGAAAATCTAAGATGCAGTGTAAAGTTATTTGCAAATGATACATTGCTTTTGACAGTTGTTCATGACCCACATGCAGCTGCTCTAGAAATGAATCACGACTTAGATACTTCTAGGAAGTCGACCCGCTAAACACAGTTGCATTAACTTTCCCAAGGAAAAAGACCCCTGAAAACCATCCAGTGGTTTTTTCCATGACACCCCAGTTAAGGACGTTAGTAAGCGTAAACACCCTGGTTCTAGACACAAAACAGACTTTTTAGATTTTTTTCCCAGGCATATCCAGACAGCTGTTGCCAAATCCAGAAGAACGACAGGTTTGCTTCGTCTTTTCTCCAAGTACTTGCCCCGACGAACTCTTATTGAATTATACAAACTTTTCGTTCGACCAGATCTTGATTATGATGATGTCATATATTATACCTTTATAAAACCATTGAATCTATTCTAAACATTACTTTAAATAATAATATGGAAAACTAGAATCGGTTCAGGTTTCTGTTGAATTAGCGATTACTGGGGCATGGAAAGGAACATCACGTGAAAAAATCTACAGTCATTGGATGAGAATCACTTGACCTACGTCGACGGAGTAGGCGTGTTGTTCTTTTTTATAAACTACCTAGTTGGCAAATCTGTGCAGGAACCGCAAGTTACAAGGCAAGCTTTTACCCCCACTATCTGTCTGTGAGGATCAAACTCGCCCCCAGAAGTTAGACTGTTACCTACAATAACTGCCTTTAAGAGTAAGCTTTTTACACTTATTTGCCCCTATCCCAGTGGCGGATCCAGCCAAAAATCTGACTACCGCTGGAATGAGATAGAGGGTCGACCACACCCTTTAGACCACACCCATTTCCTGGTCACACCCGGTTTTCTAAAATGATTATTGCTTTCTATAATTTCTTATGTAGACTATTTTCAAGAGACAAGCGGTGCTTTACTGAAAATTCATGTATCCTTACAACAAGCTTGAGAAGAAATAAATAATCTTATTCACTATTCTGAGGATAAAAATTTACGGCATTTAAACGAGGAACACCATAGAATTAGAAAAAAAGATACATTTGGCAGAATTTTGAAGTGTCGCCTAAAACTAGCATTTAGTCGGACAATTACTTATGAAAATCGACCTGTTGGAAATTACAAGTTTAAAAAGCTAGATAAAATTTGCAATTATTGAGAGCAACTTTTGCTAAACAAAGAATCATATTTTTGGCAAATAATAAAGACTTTGAAGTTACAGTTTGCCCACTTGCAGAATATGTAGGCATCCCCCCATCTTTTTGTAACGTTTGAGCCGTGTTGAGCGGCGGTACTACTCAACCCCCCATCTGAGCGGTAGTCAACTCGGATGTTCATTGGTTTACACTAAAATTTGTATGCATCCCCCCAGGTTGGCAGTGATTTTTGACGAGTTGATTGGTTAAGGCAGGCTGACTACCGCTCAGTGCAGCTCGAATCCGCTCTACACCGACTCAACCCCCCTAGCCAGCAAGCCATGATTTCATCATCATCATCATCACTTAAATTTCAGGCATGTTCCTAGGAAGAAAGGCTTGGTTTGCAGCGCGATCAAATATTTTCAATAATTAAATATGGTTTAATTAAAGTAGTAGGATAAACATGAAAATGATCCTTGTTTCTATAAATTTTTGACTAATCTGACTACCGCTCGAGCGGTAATGGCGGTAGTCTGGATCCGCCACTGTATCCTAAACCAGTATTCAGTATCCACGATCCGAAAGGCCTAGCTGCTCTTACCCAGTTACGTATGGGTCTAAGCAAACTAAATCTCCATCAGTTTAGATATACCTTAAAAGCTACAATTGAGCCAATGTGCTGTATAAAAGATAGCGTGGAGGATACGGAACATTACTTGCTTTCCTGCCACCTATATGATGCTCATAGACATTATCTTCTCAACAGTGTCTATGCATTATTACATAAACATAGCCTATCACTAAATGCAAGATTGAAATGGCATGACAAGCCTTTGCTCTCTCCTGCGTCACTCCTATTGTTGGGCATTACCTAATATAGGGAATCAGCGTTCTGGGAATGACGAAAACAGGGTTTTGTCATGCTCATAGTTATGGGCATGACTAAATTGGAAACCCTCTATTTTAGTTATGCTCGAGAATAGAAGTGCGCCTTCAGAGGGCTCCATATTCTTGCGTGGAACCATAGGGCTCCAAAGGTTAATGGGCTTGAGCTCAGGAGATTAGGAGATTAGGACTTTATTCTTACAAAAATAAATATTTTGAAAACTGTTATCTCTGATAATAGATGGTCATGCCCGGCATGACAAACATGACTGGTAGCTACGCCACTGCCTTTAAAATACCCAAAAGATTGTCATGGGCGTTCCCTTCAATTAAAATTGGCATTCCTTGTTGATAAAAGTGTGTTTTCGGGTGGTAAAAAGGGCATGGCCTAAAAATGTTTGCTTTGCCCCCCAGAGCCTAGTGTGGCTTTCGTAAAGATTATGGAACACAACACGCTCTTATAAGATATATTGAAGATCTAAAACAATGCTTGGATGGTAAGAAAATCGTGGGCACTGTCCTTATGGTTCTCTCCAAAGCATTTGATTGTTTCTCACATAAACTGTTACTAGCAAAATTAGAAGCTTGTGGACTTAGATGAGATGCATTATTATTTATTCAAGACAACCTGCAATAGGGCCTAAAATAAATTTTACAGATCCACATTTTCTTATAATAATTGGGCATGGTACTTTGCTGGGATTCGCACAATGGGCGTGGTAAATGAAGCACACTGATATATGCACCTTTTACATGCTAATTCTTTCCACCCACCTTTGTGTAAAAAAAGTGTTATTTACAGCCAAGCACTTCGCTTCAGACGTTTGATTACAGAAAACAATAACACCACAAACATCTCAAAACGCTTCGAAAAAATCTAATCATAAGAGGTTATGAATCTCAGGATATCACAACCGAATTTAGTAAACTGACATATGTCACCCAAAGTGAGCTCCTCTTCCAAGGAAACCCAACCAACAATGAAACCACCCCTCAGGGCACCCAGACAGGGGCCCGCACGGTTCCGTCCTTACTAAACATTGACACTTGATTCCAGCCGATGCTTGTCTTTAAACACATATGGAGTAACACCAAACCGGTTCTAGTCCTTACTTGAAGGCCTAGCCTCAGAGATCAATCGGTCCACTCTGAATTAGGCCATTAACACAAAGCCGCTTCTCGAAGCATCGTGCGCCTTTAGCTTTAACAATATATGAATATTACACTAGAGGCACAGTTACATCTAAGGTTCGGCATCCGCTGATTATCGAATTTTCATTCTTATTATCTATATATATATTTATTTTGCAACCGTGATCCTGGACGCAGGATTGCGAGGGGCGCCCACGAGAAACGGACATACCGAATTAAAGCCCCTAAATGTCCCTCGTGGAATTCTGGCTGATGAGTTGCTTTTTTATCATTTTCTGCCCATTTCCAAGCTAATTGCTTAAACATACAAGGGCACACACAACCACCCCCCATTTGGGTTTGAGGCTGTAACCAGGTGGTGGTGACTACTCCTTGTCCCCTTTCTTCTCATTTTTTCATTTTGGATTTTACAATATTATTCGCACGTTGGTTTTTTAGTTTTTACTTTCTATGCCTATAAAAACAATAGCATGTCCTAATTGGGCAACATCTTAAATAAATCAAGTATAATAAGCTGATTCTTTGCAAGATATGGATTGGGTTATAAGAAAATTAGTAACATGTAGTAGTGTTTTGACTCGTGAGCAAAAAGTAATCGAAAAGGAA